TATTTATGGTGAAGAAAGTCCTACATCAAAATGGTTAAATTTCTATCCGTTATGTTGCTCAAAATAAACATGAGTGAGAAGTCAGTACAGGATGCTTGTAAGCCTGTCCCAAGGACAATTTTTAATTCAACCATTTTTATATGCCAGCATCTTCTAGAAGTCATTTCATTGTGAAGATCTGGGTAATGACAGCAGTTTTCTGAGTTATGACTCGGGTGCATGGGACCTTTGTAAAAATCTCATAATGGGTTAAAAAAGAAACCATGATGATACTGATGACGATGATGATGATGATGATGATGATGAAAAGTACAGGTACAAGGAAACAAAAGATTTGAGAAAGGTTATTATGTACATTTATGCACTGAGATCTGTTCTCTAGTTCTTGGAAATACCTGCCGTGAAACACTGGCTTGTGTTCAACGGCCCCAGGGGCAGGCCACCATACATAACTGAAGTGATATGAGAAGTGCTGTGTGTGTCCCCGAAGGACACTGCCGAGCATCACCGGGCAGCCCAAGGTCAATCTAGAAATGCAAATAGGAGTTAAGGTGGTTCTGGTTGATGAGGCTCAGCTAGTCCTCCAGAGCAAGACAAAAGGGCAGTGAAGGACAAGAATAGCTGAAACACATGAAGCTTTGGGAAAACTGTATGACCCATCTCTTTAGAAAGACAAGTCATTTTGGGGGTTCAGATAGAAATTCTTTTAAAATTGTTCATTGAAGTTTTCTCACTGAAAGTTCCAAGGCAGTGGTTCTCAAACTTGAACAAGGGCCAGTATCACAGGGACGGCTTACTAAAACACAAATTGCGAAGGCTCCACCCCAGGATTCTGATGCAGTAAGTCTGGGAGAGGGCCTGAAAACGTGTATTAGTAGCAAGTTCTCAGGTGATGCTGATGCTGCAGTCTGGGGACCACATGTTGAGAAACACTGTCTAAGGTACACTACATGAAATTCTGGGCCTCTGAACTTTAGGTTCCAGGAATATGACTTCAAGAATTGGCTGAAAGGGCCGGCCGAGTGGCGCGATGGTTAAGAGCTGGCTTGGGACGCCAGAGGGCCCCGGTTCGGATCCCACATATGAGGGCCAGTGACACTGCCCTCCACAGCTAAGATGCTGAACAACAGCTCAACCTGGAGCTGGGCTGCCGTGAGTCACCGGCGACGGCGTAGGCTGCAGCCCCTGTGGCACTGGGTTGCCATGGGCTACTGTGTGTAGCCAGCAGCCAGCGTGAGAGGCCAGCAGCTGCCGTGAGCGGCCGTCCAGAAGCCAGCGACTGATGTGCCTCACCTGGGAAGAGCGCAATGATGGTGCCAACTTGGGCCAGTGAAGCAACGTCCTCCACAACTAGATTGAAGAACAAAACGACAGCAACTTGTCTGTTCCCCTTCCCCCAATTCCCCAGCACTGTTCCCATCCCCCCAATTCCCCAATAAAAAAAAAATTAAAAAAAAATTGGCTGAAAAACAAATGTCCTCATCATCTCACTTCTCCTTCCCAAAATAAACAAATCAACAAAATGAACCAATAAATAAATAAATAAATAAATAAATAATAATAATAATAATACAGTCATGCATCACTTATCAATGGGAATACTTTGAGAAATGTGTCGTCAGGCAATTCTGTCATTGTGTGACCATCACAGAATTCACTTACACAAACCCAGATGGTCTAGCCTACACACACCTGGGCTGTATGGTACAGCCTACTGCTCCTAGACTACAAACATGTACAGCATGTTACTGTACTGAATACAGTAGGCAATTGTAACACAATGATAAGTACCTGTGTATCTAAACATAGAAAAGGTACAGTAAAAATATGGTATAAAAGATACAAAATGTCACACCTGTATAGGGCACTTACCATGAACAGAGCTGGCAGGACTGGAAGTTGCTCTGGGTGAGTCAGTGAGTGAGTGGTGAGTGAATGTGAAGACCAAGGACATTGCTGTGCACTACTGTAGACTTTATAACACTGTACACCAGCAGCACCACAAACACTTGAGTAATGTCTTATGCTACGACGTCACTAGACAAGAGGAAGTTTTGAACTCCATTATAATCTTATGGGGCCACCATTGTATATATGGTCTGTCAATGACCTAAATATCATTATGTGGCACATGACTGTATACAGAAACTGTTCTGTAGAGATGAATTGTAAAGGTTAATTCATCTGTGTGCAATGGGGAAGCTCCTAATGTAGTTCCCTAAAGACCAATTCTTGACAACAGTGTAAGTTTCCTGTCAAATTTTTTAATAGAAGCCTAGGCATCAGCATGGTATCATTTCTGTATTTTTATCCATAGAGTTACCATGATGAAACTCCCCAAAGTCCATGTTTTAATCATAAAAAATACACAAGCTGCTGCAGGTTTTGTTGAGGTGAGGTGAAGGTTGAGTACCTCTGCAAATGTTTCCCTTTCTTCCAATCTTTCAAATCCCTGGAGGCCTTTCCTGGGGCCTGGGGAATGGAGAGCTGGGCTCGAATGTACTGTCAGAGCCTCAGCTTGCAAAAGCCACATCAGATAAAAAGCCTTCCACACAAACTCCAGGCATGTCAGCTGGGTAAGGAGGTATACAGAGCAGCCTACGGCCATTTCCAATGAATGGTCCATTACCTGTGCTAAGCGTAAGAGGAGTCTTTAGGAATCACTCAAGAAAACATTTTTATAAAGAAATTTTATTGCATAATTCCTGTATACAATAAACATAGGAAAAGGGTTTGTTTGTTTTTTAATGAAAATTTCATGTCATTTTCAAAAGTTTTGAATTGTCTGAAGAAAAATTATTACAAAGCTATCTAAGGCAAAATTAATATTTGACCTTCAGAACAAACCATGATCCCTTTCATCGTATTCTGTATGTAAAGCAAGACATTTTCAACTCAATTAATACGGAGAGGGCTTTTAATTACTATGTCCTTTGCATTAAGAATTCAAATGCATCTAAGTGAAAAGTTTAAACACATAGAAATGTTCTCTAATACAATACATACTGCTGCTTTCTTCAGAGCCATTTTGCATGGCTGTCTGGATCTACGTTTTACACACCAGCAGAAACCTGCGTCTCCTCATGGTACAGTAAGGGCTGGAGTGCAGAGAGGGAAAGTCCCATGCATTTCCTATGCTCAATGGCATAACTCCCACAGATCACATACACCTCGCCATATTGACTCAGTTCATTGCACTCCATATCCTGCAAAAATAAATCTAGTGCTCGACAGCTGACATTATTGCTCACTGACATTTTAGTAATATATTTCCTTAACATAAGACAGAAATATACTGAAATTTGATACCACTTAAACTCAAAAGCAATCTGGAATTAAACCACATGCATACACCCCACTTTTTTTTTTTCCAATGGATGTTACATTTTTCTTAAAGTTGATGCTGGAAAACGTGGTAGAAGAAAAACTGGCTTTCCATGAAACAAAGACCAAGGATTAGAAAAAAGAGTTTTTTGAGGAAAATGTTAAGCCCTACAATAAAAATGAAGGAACAATGAGAATCCAGAGTCTCTGGGGAGAGGGAAGAAGCCCCTCATTTATCTTCCTTGTCTACCCCAACACTGTGGCTCCTGTCCAACAGGCCCCAGGGCAGGCCACCATACATAACTGGAGTGATATGAGAAGTGCTGTGTGTGCGCCCGAAAGGGCAGACTTCACACTGTGACAGGAAATGCCCTGGGAGACCCACTTCTTTATCTGACTGCACATGGGTCACCAGGAAATGTTGGGGCTCCCTCTGTGAGGTTGGGAAAGGCTTCTAGGATGGTCTGGATGCTGGGGCTTAAATTATTGTAAATTTTATACTCATCTCTCCAGGGGAGTGAAACCTGCAAATTCCAGGGTGACCCTGGGGCCTGAGGTGAAACATTCTGGGAGCTGAGGGAAGCAGAGCATAACATAACTGGAACTGTGCAGCCGGAGCTTCCATGGCAATAGAGAGCCACTAGTATGTCAGGGCCTCACCAGGAAGTTTGTAGAGACCTAGAAGAATGTGGATGCGGCCACACTGACATTTTGATTTGTCATAATTTTTCATTTTAATTTCTCCTTATTTCTTTAAAATTATCAAGTGTCCCTCTTTCTTATTTTTGTCTCGGTGCTTATAAGGAACCCATTTTCATAAACTTTCAAAGATTTACAAAAAATAATATTAAAAAAAAAAAAGCTACATTTCAGGATTAGCATTCAAGGCTACAGGCACGGCACAGATCACTCAGAAACTGCACCTTCTCACCTGGCTGCAGCAATAGCCACTTGTCTCGCCACTGCTCACAGCCGTGACAGCCTCACTGTGCACAATGACGTCCACGCCACCAAGACTAAATGCCATACGGCAACTGAGCAGAGCTTCTCAGAGGAAAACCAGCCATACTGCTACAAAGAAACCTTTCTGGCTCCTAGCCCAACTGTTTCCATACCAATCAGCTAAGTCAACCTCATCTCCACTTCTTTCCATTTCAAATGCCTGGGCTTTGGTCTTTGAGGCAATTAGAACCAGATCAGTTTAATTTTTACAACACTGATCTTAATTGTACAGCAATATATAATTTTGCCCTGAGAGTGTCAACTGTTTTATAAGTATCATAAGTCCCAGTTTATACATGAAGAATAGGCGTGGAGGACTAAGTAGCTTGTCCCTTGCCACACAGATTAGTGTCAAGGATGGGCCTGGGGCTTGGGGCTGTTTCTATTTGAACCCCATCATCTCACCAGAGCTCACCTGTGCTCAAGGTCCCTCCCTCTGGGTTCTGTTTGTTACTTGTGGGGTCTTGCCAGTTCTTCCGCACAGTACTGGCTATGTCAGGCCCCAGGACTTCCTCTGTGGCCCTCTCTGCCCTCTTACTGCTGCGGCCTTGCTGAAGTGCGTTGTTCCCCGTACTTTATTTAACATGGTGGAATCCACGGCGATGCCCTTCCCGACACAGCTGCTATTCGGTGTGCAGGGACAGACTTATAAAAGGCAATGGCAGGTGTTCTTCTTTGTGAACTTTGGAGAAAAATGGGGCTCAACATTTTACAGTTGTCTTACATTCCAATGTTCTCAACGGAAAATAAAATAAAATAAAGGCCTAACCGTGAGGTAATGTTTACTTCTCTGCCACAACACTCAGTACGCCCCCTCAGATCTGGCAACAATTTAACATAAGGAAAGACTTTAGACCTTCACACCCTTTTAGTGAGAATAAACGACCTTAGCTCAAACTTTCCACAAAGCTAAGAAGTCTCAGAAGACATCACTCCATCCTTATCTTAGGTAGATCTGTCCAAATGCCTCAGGCCATGTGTCTCGCAGGTCTCCACGCCCTGCGCTTCTGAGCTCTGGTCTCTGCACTGTGTAGGACAGCCCGACTTTCACGTCTGAAGAGCAAGGACCTTCTGCCTCTTAAGCAAAGGGGGGAGCGGGGAATCTCAAAAGAAGCTATGTGCGTGAAGAAAATAATGCCAAACAGTATTTAGGTGGCTTGTGAAGAAGTTTCACAAAGCTATCTCCACTCGCTCAAGTTATAAACAGTACAGGATCAAGTCAGTAGCAAAATACATCGACGGCCAGGGCCTCTGTTTAAGCCAAAGAAGAAATATATCAATAGCACAAAACCGCCCTTATACTTTTTGGAAAAATATATCTAAGATAGACAAGTTTGAACTTTGTTAATAAGCTGTGTGTTAAGTACACTTGTTGCCTTCCTTCCCCAGGACGCTACAGCTCCGTCTTGTCTGCCGGGGCTGGGCTGCCGGCCCCACTGCCCGCATCGGCGCTGCTGCTATCTGCAGGTGTGAAGGACAAGGAAGCTGAGTTTATGCAGTATCTTTTGCCGGTTGGACGGGGTCCGTCATCAAAAATGTGCCCAAGGTGAGCACCACACTGAAAGAGAAAAGCAAGACGTAAGAGAAAAGCGTGTACAAAGCAGGCTTTCAGAGGAACTCACATTAAGCAGTTTAAATGGATGACCGGCCTGTAGAGAAATGATGGAAACCATCGTGGATGATTTCTAACCCGCCTGTCAATAGCTGCAAAGATGGTTTCTGGCAGGCTCTGCACCACATGCTGAGAAGAAAAAACACTAGAATTGTGCATATCAGAAATCATTTAGGAGCCACTGTATTTTTTGATCTGTGAAGTCTCTCAGCCAGCTGAAAAATGACTGCAGTAATTTTATGAATTGAGTTGACCCTTGATCTCCCCTTGTAAGAAACATGGCAGAATAAAATCTCTTCCCCCCCACCGGCATTACTTTTAGCTTTGGATGGGTGCGTTTCAGATATGCAGAAGTCCACTGTAAAAGATACTGTTTAACTGGCCATGACGGAGGTGATGTTTGCTTTCATGGGCAGTAAAACTTAACATCAGAGAAGCATTGGATGTTCTTGGAACCCAGCAAAGCCACAGCAAGGCTCAGCAGATTTGTCACGGTCACCGGGACAGCAAGTGTGGCGAATGGGAACGGCGCTCGCTAGTCCACACAATTGTTTTCTTCTGGCTTCCAACAGGTGGAGTGCCATGCTGGCTTCCTCACTCGCATGGACTGGATTATTACACGGAGAAGGAATAAGCTGTCTAGCTCCAACCCACGCTACTTACTATCCACAAAGCTGAGGAAGGAGAAGAGGCACAGAATCTGGACAGGCGGGAGGGAAGGTTGGTTTTGACTGTGTTTAAGAGAGATAAAGTCTCCAAAAAGGCTGGCTAACTAAATAAAAGCCCTGCGCTAACCACTGTGATGCTGGGGACATCTCTGGGAGACAGAGGCACAGGTCACACTTACCTATCTCCCACCCTTTCCCAACAGGGACGGGGTGAAGGATATGGAGGCCTTAGTGCATCACACTCAACCATCCAAACTGTTTTCTGTGAAAACAGAAACCAAGGCCTGGGGCAAATGATTCCCATTCATTCATCTAACATATGTCTGCGGAGTGCCTGCTGTATTCCAGGCACTGTCCCAGGCTGGAGATGACAAGCTAGAATCCCTGGCCTCGTGGAGCTTACATTCTAGTGGGAGAGACAGGCAATACACACACAAGGAAATAAAGGAACTGTCAAGTACGGTAGGTGGGAAAAAATGCTAAGGAGGGAAAAAAAGTGATATGAAGTGTCAGGGTTGGAGGCTGACATTTTAGGCACTATGGCCAGGGGTGGCTTTCCTGAGGTGGCTTTGGTATAAGGACCTGAAGGCAGCGAGGGAGTGGGTATCTAGGGGAGCGCATTTTGTGCAGATGGAAGAGTCAACACTTCGTGAAGAACATGAAATAAGAGGCATATGGATGATTCACTAATTCTTCTCATTGCTTGTTTTGTGTATGAAAACACACTTATAAACTGCAGGAAAGGAGAGTAGGAATTGACAAGGGAATGGGGCTAAGACACCAAATGGAGATGATGAGAGAGAAGTGAGGGATGGTGCTCATTACAATGAGAAGGAACTGGAGTCTCGGTTTCCCCCACTGAAAGCGCTTAACTCAATTCTGGAGGGTTTTCTAGTTATTAATAAATAGCACAAACAGCAAGTTTGGCTATATGGCACTTCCATGTTAAAAGTGCATTCTTATTTTACTGCCAGCATACTATGTCAGCTTATTAAAGAACTAAAAATGAACCCTGAACTGATTTGATCTATTGCCTGGAAAATATGAAACAGGCCTAAAAAACAAATCTTGCATTATTTTACCACATTCTATGCAGGTTTAGGTAATATCAAGGCTGACAGCTCAGATTGCCTTTCCTTTCTATAAACAATTGAGGCCAAATTTTCAGGCATCAGCAGCTAAGATGCACCAGTGAAAAATACATATGCTTACCCAATGGACACAGGAAAACACCCATTTCTGCCTGCCAAAATGGTTAGGCAAGCAGGAACTAGCGCTCTCGGTGACCAGTGTGTGTGCGCAATTATTGATCCCATGTGCATCTCCGGCACTTTGATCACTCAGCATCTGAGAGGTGGAGTTTTCACATAAAAGCCTCAGATAGTTTTGTTTTCTTTTTAATGAGTGAATACAGCTATCTGGGCAAAATAAATGATACTGCCTTTATTAATCATCTCTTGGACATATTTAGAAAACAGTTCTATTTACTCCAAAAATAAAGGAATAATAAGGATATACTTGGAGCCATATATATGGAGTATTTACATGGCCTTCATTTTCCAAATCCTGTTTTAAAAATCCAAATTAGAGTTATTTAATCTGTTGAACTGAGGTGGTTATTGATCTGCAGTTTCATTTGCTCAAGCTGGAAAGGAAAACACAGATTCTAGATGTCCCTAATCTAGGCATTAAAAAAAGGGAGAGGGGCTAGGAAGAGAAACTATAGTCAGGAAAAGACAACAAAAATCATTTGCTAACAACTTTATGGGTTGGGGCAGGGGTAGGGAAATCCTCAGACAGCGGTGTAAAAACGATGGTGACAGCATCATCACGCTTGCCACAAGGTGTTCTGGAAGATTCACACCAAGCTCAGATAACCGAGGGAGGAGCAACATTTCAAAACAGCACAAGCTGCTCATTTATACCTGTGCCAGCACATACACGTCCACCCCCACTGCCTGCAGAGCTGCGAGGCCATGTGTGCGAGGACAGCCTGACCACTTAGCGCCATTTCTGCTTCCTCCTAGGTACCTCAAGTCTCACATAGAAGACTATTACCCGGTTTCTTTTAAATGTGCATCAGCCCTACAGGCTCCACCCCCAGAAGGCACATGGAGCCCATTCTTTCCAGCTCCCACCCCTGGCGGAAGGCTGGGATGATGAATGGAAGTTGTCAGTGATGCATTGTTTCTTTAGCCGCCTGCGAGTTCTGCCTCCTCAGCCCCAGCCAACTGGCAATGTGTTGGGATCTCTCAGCACACCTGGTTGTAACTGAAACAAACTAGTGGCCCCGATGAAGAAATCTCAGAAACCTGCTGTTAATGATTTCTTTTGGGGTAGAATCTTTGGTGTACATTTTGAAAGTTGTTTTAACGTGATTATGTATTTCTATATTTCACGTGTAAAATACAAACTAGGACTATTGTAGCTCTCACTCTGAAGATGCATGAGATACTTGTTCAAAAGAAAATGTTTCAATTCCCACAAGAATCCTTTATCCCCGAAGCCTCCCTTTCAGAAAAGTCAGCAATGACAGAGCCTGCAGGGAATCAAGGGAAAGGACACCACCACCCCTCCAAAAAGTGAGGGAGCATCAAATTTAACACAGCTCCTCAGAATCGGACTGCAATCCTCAATCGTGTGCATAAGAAACACAAATAGTGGCATTCAACATAGTTACATACTTCTGCACTGATGTTATTTCCAACTGTCCTAGAGGGTTTTCTCCCAGCTATTCGTAGGATGTTTGGGGCTTTATTATTGTCATTTTCTCTTAAGTGTTTGATCTATAAGATGAAGCAGTTTCAAAGCAGGGCTTTTGCACGTGGGCACATGGGGCAGGATGGGAAGGAGAAAGAGTTTTAAGAAGAAAAGCAATTTACTTTGCCAGTAGTATCCTGTTTTTTCCCACCGTTATTGAAGACACTTGTGTGTAAGTAGGGCTCTTTTCCTCTGTGCTTATGATATTAATCTTTTGCCAAGGAAATGATTGTGAAGTCACCAGTTTAGCGTTATGATTTTACTGAAAGATCAAGAAAAAGAGAGATGGGCTGTGAGTCTGAAGCCCTATTGTAACACATGGGTATCTTTAATCATCAGCAATACATGAGTTGTCATCTGCAAAAGATTAATAAGGTTTGGGGTTTTACCAAAAACTGCTTAACTTTTGAAAAATACTTTGTATCCGTAGATATTTACCTTTATGTTGATTTGGTTGAGTTAGAAGAAATTAATGACCTAAAACAAACTTAAGGGACTCCACCGTAGATTCAAGCAGTAATATTATAGCAGCAGTCATAAACAGACTCCAACTTGGGTAAACTCAGGGATCTGATGGTTTCCTTAAAGGTTATTACAAAAAGTTAAGTGAATTATTGGTCTCCCATTTGCTTCAGATGTCAAATTTTCATCTAAAGAAAGAAGAATTTTCCAAATAGTTCCAGGAGGGACTTACTTCTCTGAACCACAGCTTAAACCATGCAAATCTTACCTCTTTGCACTGAATTTAAACTCCTGACAAAGTGTTGCTTAACAGGCTGGGGTTGGAGGATTAGGGAGAAGATGCCAAACAATTATTCATAGTGGTCAGTGAACTTGGCATAGAAGCAATGTATTTTGTCACTAAGTGAAAAATGTGAATTAAGTACAATTAAGGAGAACTCTTTACAACTGAAAATTGTTAGGAGATTGCTGCAGCCAGGGAGTAAATACACGTGCCCACCAAAGTGGGCAAATTTAAGATAAAGATCCTCTTTGGAAGGGACAAGTGGAATATAATTCCTCAACTCAGTAGGTAGAATAGAAAAAGAAAACAAATATGGTTGCTACAAAAGCCAGAATGTAACAGGGTGACTTATTTCCTCCACCAGCAGGAACCCTAATGAAGCCAGTGGAGAGCCCCCCATCACCCTTGCTTATTTTCTGTACTGGTAACTTAAAGTTCGGGCAGCGTGCTACGTTTCTTACCCAGCAATCCTTTTGGAAGGACCCGATTGCAATATTTCTCTGAAAAAATGATGACAGTACTGAATCGAGCTTAACTTTCTCAATAAAATTTTACTAAAATAACATTATCTAAGAAGTCACTGAATACATGGAAAAACTACAACCGTAGTGTAAAGAGATGGTAGGTTATGGCTCCCAACAATTCCTACACAAATATGAGGCATGATTCACTGCAGGGTATGATCCATGTCACAATTAAAAAAGAAGAAGAATATTAAATACTACACCAAGAATGAGGGAACAAGAGACCAAAAAAATATATATATCGCCATAGTATCAGGCAAGCAGGTTGAGTCTACTGGTTTCGTCCATAGAAGCTCAGTTCGTTTATTATATCTTTACTACAAGGAAAGAAATAGTCCACATAACATGTCCAATTGAGAATGTCTATGAGATACTAAAATCATCTAACAGATTCTTCATAATGCAAACCACATTGATGCAATTCAGTCCAGAGAAAGGATAAGCCATGTGAATTCAAACTACAACAAGAATTTTGGAAAGAGGAGAAGCAAATCAGAGACGTTTCCCACACTATCACCATTGAAAAGGACATAAATTTTTTTTATAAATGGAAAAAGTTGCAAGTAGGGGATGTGACTATATAAACTGAAAGAATGGAAGGCAAAAAAAGATAAACTGATAATGAAAAATAGTGTTAAGAATGGGAAACTAGGAAGTATAATACAAGTGGTTACTCAAGCATGGAAAATATTAAATCTTTTTTTTTTCAAGTCAAGATAAAAAGGACAAATGAAAGAAATGGAAAAGAAGTAACGAAAAATGCAAAACAAAAGAAAAATAAATGTATGTGTGAAACACACAACTGAAAAGACAAAAAGAAATTTAAATGAAAGACTCCCAACAGACTTTAATTTAGTGAGCTATTGTTGCACTTGTGTGATTGACATCCCCCGCTCTGTCCACATGTGAGAGAATCTAGCAAACATTTCATTTTGGGGGCTGGAACTCAATGATTTTCTACATGGAACCTTGCAAAGCATGCATTTTTACACATGCCTTAATGAAACAAATTTCCCTCCTTCTTTTTGTTAAACTTAAGACTTTTATTTAAGAAAGAGTCAAACACTTTCTAAATATGAGGAGTAGAGCTCGTGGTAAAGAAGCTGAAAAGGATCAGGTCAGTGTTAGTTCTTCACCCGACTGGTGTCACCTAGGCCTGTAACTACGGGCTGAGAGCTATGCCTGGGTCAGCTCACGGTCTATGAATGTTGTCTAATTCTGGCGCAGTCTGTGGGTTTCATTTCTCTCTGGTCACTGCAGGACACCTTCATAATGATCTTGTCTTGACTACTACTGATGTTATCTCTGCGGCTGGCACAAATGGAAGGCGTTTACACAACTGTGAATTTTAAGAATTAGCCACAAAGCCATCAGAGAGTAGGGCCTTAAGGAAAGTTATCTTGTACCTCTCTTTTTCTGTGCCTTTTTTATTTGGTTTTCATGGGATTCAAAATTTGAAAATGGGTTCTGAATAAAAAGGAGAGTAGCAGTCATTTAATAGCCTTTATGGCAAAAGGAAGGAAGGAAAGAGGGAAGGAAGGGAGGGAGGGAAGGAGGGAGGGAGAGAGGGAGGAGGAAGGAAGGAGGGAAGAAGGAAGAAAAGAAGAACTATTAGCTTTAAAAGAGGCTTACTAAGTATTATCTGTGTACCTAAGTTTAAATTACTATGCACCATCCTACCCAGTTACTATTTTGTCAAATATTTTAGATTCCTAGGTAGACAGTCTTATGAGTTTTTGCAGCGGTAATAAAAATATCAGTAAAATTCAATTGGATTCAAAACTGAATTGAATTTAACTAACTGCCTGGGCATCACAGGATTTCCCCCCCTTATTTCAATGTGACTCTTTGTCTATCTATCATCTATCTATCTAT